TTTGTTTGTCTCAAAAAAAGTTTTATTTTTGTTTTGTCCCACATTTTTCATTTATTCTTATTTATATGTTTGTTTTTCCTTATTATATTAATTTTTTACATGTATGTTTTATGCTTTTGTACCATTTATTTTAGTTATTTCTTATTCTTCTCTTTTTTGTTTTTTCATTTTTAACTATTTTTTCTATTTTATTTTGACGTTCTTAACACGCATTCTGTTGCACTACCTTACTGTGTACCTTGAGGTGCGTGAATGCCCATAATGCAACCTGCAATTGCATGTGTCACAACACGCTTACAACTGCAAGGGGTACAACGCGACTGCAACTGAAGGGGAGAATTGCTGGTCAATTGCAGGCTCATCACTAGAGCTGCAATTGCACTCGTCGCACCCCGCTTGCAACTGCAAGTGGTACAACGCGGCTGCAAGTGGAGGGGAGGGATGTCGGTCAGTTGCATGTCCATCACTAGAGTTGCAACTGCACATGTCACAACCCGTCTGCAACTGCAAGGGGTACAACGCGAGTGCAAGTGGAGGGGTAGGGATGTCGGCCAGTTGCATGTCCATCTTTAGAGTCACAACCTGCCTGCAACTGCAATGTGTACAACGGGACTGCAACTGGAGGGGGGGGATGTCGGCCAGTTGCATGTCCATCACTAGAGTTGCAACCGGCCAGCAACTGTAAATGGTGCAACGCGGCTGCAACTGGAGGGGAAGGAATGTCTGTTAGTTGCATTTCCATCACTAGAGTTGCAACCCGCCAGCAACTGTAAATGGTGCAACGCGGTTGCAACTGGAAGGGAAGGGATGCCCGTCAGTTGCATTTCCATCACTGGAGTCACAACTGCATGTGTCACAACCCGCCTGTAGCTGCAATTTGTGCGGATCAATTTTTTATTTTTATTTTATATTAACAATACAAAATAATTTTTAAAAATGTAAGAAAAATTATATATATATATATATATATATATATATATATATATATATGGACCGAAATAGAAAATGTAGTAATGCTCTGCCGAAGGGAACGATGAAAGAAAACAGGCTGAATCCTAGCCCATGAGCGATTACACGAGGGCTTATAGCAAGAAAAGAGAAAAAGCAACTATGCCGGCTGAAGGAAAATGTACAGCCCACGCCCATATGCATGATTTGCTTTTAGAAAAAAACACCGACATGCATGACGTCAGCCGACTGAGACTTTACCAAGTCTCAGTCGACTGATGCCTAGTCAGGCCCCTACCAGTAGGGTTGACTAATCGCATGAGTAACCATGCATGCAATGCATAGGTCAGCTCACTTCCGGCGTTTCTGCTCTGTACCCACAGGCAGGTTTGACTTGCGTACGATTGTATTTGTGGTAGCTGAAAGTCTGAAACCAGTACTGTATGTCATTCAGTATTTTCATTGGCCAAAAAAAAAACATACTAGCATATTAGATATTTTGAAAGTCACATTGTACTTTGTAAACTATCAGCATCTATAGAATACCCAATCCATGCCATTTGGTTCATCATGAAATACATTTTTCATACCAAAACAATACAATTATATTCATCATGAAATACATCTATATTTAGTATATATTGTGGATACCAATAATTTTCTTTATAAACTTGATCAAAGTTTGTGAAACTTAACTTTAGAAAACCAATGAACATTATATTTATGTATTGTGGAACAAAGGGGGTGTATCACTTGGTATTTTCATTGGCCAAATTTTTTGTGTATTAAGATAAGGATTTTCGTGTACTTGGTTGCGCGCGAATGTATAGTTTCAATTGGAGACCTCTTTCAATTGCAGCTTAATTCTGTTGGTTTTCATACCTTGGTCGTCTACTCTCAGAAGAATTTAACTGCATATATTTTAGTGGTCTGTGATCAGTCACGTATTGTACGACTCTAAACTATTAGTTTCGCCATACAACATCCCCATCGACTCTCCAAAACAATAAGCTAAAAACATCCCTGGACCTCGATCGATTAGTTTAAGTACCTGAATCCCTTGGCGGCCAAGGAAAACCTGCTAATGATTGGGTCAGCAAGACATCAACATGTAGAAAGAGTTGTGGTTTTCTTCCGGCCCTGAATCAATCCAGTTGCTTGGTTTGCTTCACAAGCCATGCAACGCACACATATCCACTTGATCCCATCATGCATGGCGTTCACATCAAAATATATCTCTCTCCGTAGGTCTTACTCTTATCTTTGAACGCGCTCGATGGTTAGCTATAGATTCATAATTAGCTAGGCCTTGATTGTCTGGCAAGTCAACTGGCATGACGAAATCACTCAACCCCTGGCCATTTCTTGATTGTCCTTCTTCTCCCTCGATCAGGGCCACATATATGTATTCAAGATTGCAAGTTGCATTGCTTGCTTTCTCATGGCACGCGCATTGCGTTCCCTTTAATTTATGTGTCCATCTGCTTGAGCGACAAGTTAATTAGCAATCTATTCCTAATTTCATCGTCCTTGATCATTTTGACTTTTTGAGTCGGGAGCACTTGACTGAAATAATAAGCTGGGGGAGCAGTGCGCTCCAAGCTCTGAATTTGTGGAGCAGATCGCGTTCGCACGTACACTAGTACGTTGGGGTTCAGGGAAAATGATCGATGAGATGCTTCCCGGCGCAGGGAGGGAGTGGCCGTGGTAGATACGCGTGCGTGTGCTCATAAAGTATGCCCGTTGCACGATCACAGGTCGCTTCGGGAGGAAGGTTGCAGCAGAATGTTTCAACTTCTTGTGTCCGGACGCATGTTGCCGTTCCATCTTCGCAAATACTATTCCCTCCGTTTCAAATTACTTGTCTTAGATTTGTTGATGTATCTAAACACGTTTCCTCTATAATTAAAATGCTTTTATATTAGTTTACAGAGGGAGTATGTCCGTATCTAGTCGAACATAAGACAAGTAATTTGGAAAGGAGGTAGTATAATAAGTAATACGTCCAAATTATTTGAAATTTTACATTTGTCCGAGGTGAAACTTCTGTAAGTTTGATCAATTCGAGAAACAAATATGCTGGTATACACTATATATGAAAATCTAATTATAATGAAACTTGGCCTTCTAGATGTTGGAATATATTTCTATTGAGCTGCTCAAACCCAAAACTTCACCCAAGGATGCACTCGGGATTTGAGAAGGAGATTTGTTAATTATCAGTGCACAATATACATGTTCACCAATTTTGTAGCTCTATAAATTGCTTTTGTTACTTTATAATATTATCACAACATGAGAAAATGCCTCTGACCCCATCTCAAAAGAATCTGAAAAGTACACACACACGGTACACATATACATGTACAGTATGTACGTACATAGAAACTTACGCATGTACACCACCTACGTACATAGAAAGTTTAATAATAACATATGTTCATACGTGGCACACACACAAAAATATGTATATAAAAATGGGCTTATGTTTGTCTTTGGTTTTGGGCCGGAAATTTGTTTTTTTTTCTTTGTGTAGCTTAAAATTACCATATTATTTGATGAAAACTTACAGATATGTAGAGAACACTAATAAGTTTTATATGGAGAAATTGATTTTTCTTTTACTTTCAAGTATCATTTTTTGTTTTTCTAAATATTGGGCTCCATAGAGCCCGAGAGCCAAAAAGTTGCACGACGGACAGGCTCCAGTGAGGCCATTTTTTCTGTCCTAAAAAAAACTATGTTTCAGGTACAAAAAGAAAATCAGAAATAAAGTATGCATGCTCAAATACATGTATACTAGATACGTGAGAATGTTCATAATAATATGTATTCATACATGGTGTACACAAAAAAGACAAATATGTATATCCAATTGTGCTTCTTCTTTTTTTGTTTTTATGTCAGGAATTTGTCTCTTTTGTGTACCTTACAAGTCACCCTATTTTTCAATGAAAATTTATAGATGTGCAGTGAACATGTATAAGTTTTCACGCAATTGTTTTGAAGGTTTCAAATATTGTATTCGACTTTAAAAAAATATGCTATAAAGTTCTAGCAGATGGAACGACTAAAATGAACGTCAACAATGGAAGACTCTTGATGATATTGAAAGCTTCATCAATGAGGCCAACGTCTCTGGACCGGTGCATCTTCTAGAACACCGATGCTGCACAAGCTGAAACTAACATCTGACCCCATAAGATTTGAGGAGAAATTCGCCTAAATAAGTGAAACCTATATATAACCATTGAACATGTGGTGGGACACACCAAGTAACATTGGCATGTTACCGTTCTGCTGCTAAATCAACCTGGGCAAAGATCAAAATAACAGAAGGTTGAGTTGTAAGAGCCACATGAGACACCCACCTGAAAAATAGGTAGAGGACTAATGCTTGGATCGCCAAATAGATGGCACAAGTATTAGGAGGAAGAGATTGGAGGTGGTGTGAGGATGGAGATGAGGGCGTCGAGGGAGGAAGAGATCGATATGAAAGGAGGGAAAATGGTGTCGATTATTCTAGGAAGGGGCACAAGTTCCCATCACACCCTTAGCATAACCCGAGAGATTTTTTGCGGCAAATGACTTGTATTACTCACATAGCCGGGCTATACTCAGAATTAGCAAGTTTGACAATACCATCAGGACTAGAGCCAAGCCAAACGGCAGTACGTCCACTAGTTCTATCATATAACAAGCTAAAGAATGACTAATAAAATTATGGTTTTTTTAGAATAACAGTTTTCCTTTCTTTCTTTTTAATTAGAAGAACAGTTTTCCAGTCGGTGTGAATTAGCAGGTATGGGCTGCATCTGTCCGTGCAGTCACTACTGATCCATCCGCCCAGGCCGTCAACAACGGGCCACCAATTCTACCGGCCCGCGCGGATCCACGTCCCTTCCCCCTGGCTACATCAATCACACTGCCGTGCCGTTGGCCCCTTCCCTCTCTGTCACCGCCAGCTTCCACACACCTCGTCGGCACGGAACACCGCCCCCCGAGTCAAGGGTCAACCCACCCACCCACCGATCTCCGTCCGTCCGTCGACCATGGGAGCCGGCCAGGACCTGGAGGCCGGCGCCGGCGACGGCGGCGAGAAGGGGATGGCCCACTCCTCCTCCTCCGGCCCGCTCCCGCCGTCGGAGCCGCCGCACCTGCGGGGCCAGGACCCCGCCCAGTACCAGTACGGCACCTTCCACCCCCCTGCCCCCCACCCCGACGTCCGCCCCCACCCGCCCGTCGGCTTCCCCCAGCCCGCCCCGCCCCCCGGCTTCCAGCAGCAGCAGCAGCCCTACGCGCCCGCCGACCCCTACTACGCGCAGGGGTACCAGGCCGCCCCAGGTACAAACAATTCCTCGCATACTCTTGCTTACCATCTTTGGTCGGGGATTCGAGGAGCTCGTGCAAATCGAGGTTTCCGTGGGGCACAACGCCGTGTCAGTGATGCCCGATGATGATGCACATCTCACGGTCGCCTGTGTGCATGATCAGAATTCAGAAGTCTTCGATCCAAAATTCGTGCGCATGATCCAAATTCCACAACTCTCTTTTTCTCCCCGGTTAGTTCACCGAAAAATTCTAGTTGTAAATGAACCCTAACTAGAATTTTTCGCTGAACTAGAAAAATCCATCGACTCACCACATGGATTCTAGGCTAAACAGGCTACTGTTGTTTAAACTGGAACACTAGATAGTTATGTAGTGTTTGCTCCTTTAGGCTAACAAGTCTTGATTAGTATTTGCGGCAATGATTGCGCAGCGGATCCTTACATCGAAGAGAATTGTTGGGAGCATCTAAAGACATATATAAATATAATTCAACAAATTCTTAGTGTGCTGAATTCACTAGCCAAATATAATGTTTGGAAGGTTATTGCCATTCTTCTATCTGTCACCTTATACTTCTAGAAGCGAGCAAGATAAATAATTTCCGATCCTATTTCGCATCAATTACTGGGAAAAAAAATAGGTGCCTAGACTCACACAAGAAAAAACAAATGGGCCCCCAAGACTGTTTTTTTTTTCCCGATCAACAGGAGCCTCGCTCCTGGTTCCATCTTTCATAGAAAGACGAAACCAGCATACAGCGTCAGCTTTTAAGGTTCACAGATGAGCTAAGCTCACAAATGCAAAGGCACCTCCTACCCCTCACCAACACGCCAAAGGGCAAACCTACAGCAATTACCAAAGGACCTTACAGCAAGAACAGAAATACTCCCATCTAAGGAGTAACGAGACCAGATCACTTCTTCAAAGAGGGGACTACTTTCTTTTTTCGCGCTAGTTACACCCTGAACACATGGATTCTATCACTGTGTCCAAGGTTCTTCATCAGGTACTCCAGCGAAGTAGCTCCCACATGATCTGCATCACCCACTGCAGCTGCTCAGGAAGAGTCCATCATACTCTCTGCGCAGATCAGCCTGGTTCCAGCTCCAGTGGTGACCTCAATTTCCTGAGTAGCAGATCCCTGAACAGGGCTGCATCCCCCCAAGAATCTCCTTGAGAAGTTTTGCCCAGTCCACTACATAACCCACTATCAAATGCCCAGCCTGTTTCACAGAAATCCAGTTTTTTCTGTTAAATACTAAGGCATTTCTGCAAATCCAAAGATCACACAGAACTGCAGAAGAAACAATGTTTAAGAGCATGAACTTTTTGTTCCATAGCCAATGAGCAGCAAGTGATTTAAAATCAACAATATCAACCTTTGAAAATTTGTTTAACATCACTTCATATAGCTCTAGCAACGATGCATTCAGAAAACAGGTGATATACTGATTCAATCTCACTAGAGTGAATACACTCCAGAGGTTTGGGCAGGCCTCTTTTCCTAAATCCTAAGATTGTCACAAGACTGAAAAATATACATCCATGTTATATGATAGTCCTGTTTCTGGTGCCTCAGGTTATGGTCCTGTTGTTCAAGGTAGGCCTGTTGAAGGAAGACCCATGAGAATGCGGCGCCTTCCATGCTGTGGGCTCGGCATGGGCTGGCTTCTGTGAGTGCCTCCCAATACGCTTGCTATTTTGCCTTACTTTCTGAAGTTAAACCAGTCCCTCACAAAGTTCCGTTCTCTTGCTGGAACAAAGGTTCATTGCTGGGTTCTTCTTTGCTGCCATTCCGTGGTATATTGGTGCATTCATCCTAATCTGCGTCCGGGTACATGACCACAGAGAGAAACCAGGATATGTTGCCTGCACTGTTGCTGTAAGTTACCTTTCTGATACAACCATAATACTATGCTACTGTTAAGATTTCACATAGAAATTTGAGACTTAGTTTTATGGCCCATCCAACCAGCTTTGTCACATTAACTAAAATAAATTAGCTCAAAAGCTTATACTCAGGTGCTGCTTACACTTACAGTTAATTTTACTTGTGATGGCTCCAGTTAAAATATTGGTATGCCTGAATTGACAAAAGCTCTTTCAACATAGTAGATTTTTACTGTACAGATTTAGCAATTGCAAGTAACATGGTAATCATTAGAATCACAAATTACGACCTATAACCTGTCACAATTAATTGTTTTGTGCAATACTTGGGCTAACTTTGCATTCGAATTTGCTGCATCGCACAAACAGGCTATAATTGCGGCCATTGTTATACCCCTTGGAGTAACAAAAGGAACAGACTCGTGGTGAGCCACCACCAGGTCTTGGCAGGCGGTTCTGTTGCTGAATATAAACATCGTTATTTCAGGCCCAGTTACATGATAGGTTACAAAGTCTGCTGGTTGTATTTCATGTATGAGTGTGTCTTGTATACATATATGTACAGTAAAAAGAGTGGGGCTGCATCTTCGATGTTCTCTTGTATCGATACTTGGTACTTATAGTGTGTAATAAAAGCTTGAATGTACAACACATATCTTTCTCGAGGTTACCTCTCTTTCAAACTTGATGTTGAAATTTGATGTATCACTCAACAGTTGTTACCCCTCCTTGGAGTAACAAAAGGGGAACAGACTCGTGGTGAACTGCAACCAGGTCTTGGCAGTGGTTATGTTGCTGAATATAAGTGGTGGTTATTTCAGTTCCTGCATCGGCCGTGGCCGTCCTCTTGTGCCTATATTTGATACTTACTGCATTGATGATGCGATGCCCCATAGATATTTCGGGTTTCTACTTTGTAATAAAGCTCAAGTGTTTTCAACACATATTTTATATGAGGTTACATCTGTGTCAACTGTCAAGTTCAGCACTTTCATATGGTATCTCCAGTTCCCCAAAGTAGATTCATATTGTATCTTAAGCAAGTCTCATTTCTCATTATCATAAGGATACTATGCGATATTTACCATCCGAAACAGAACCTATAGTGCCCACATCAATTTGTTAGTTTATGTTCCAGCTTGACACTTTGTTTGTCGAAAGCAGTGATGTTGTTAGTTTAAAGGGAACAGACTCTGCTGCCCATGAAATCTGTTACTCTTTAGGTCCTGGCCATGTTTGGCATGAAGAACCTCTAGATAATTAATCACCATTCGAGTAACAATAAAAAGTAGAAGTGTGATTTAGAGACGAATGAGGGCATTGTGTGCCATGTTGGGAAAAATTCTAGTTTTATGTTTTAAGTTGCCGCTGCGATTTCTCTGCCCCCCATCTCTATGTTGTGGTCATGTTTATAGTAGTGTGTGTGTGTGTTGTCTAAATTCCAGACATTTATAGTATCGTGTTTCCATTTATATTAGCGGTTCTTTTCTATAATTGCCCAAAATAGTCTGCCTTTCGTTGTTGTCCGACTAATAACAAGAAAAGTTGTCAGACGGTTGTATTGAACTTAGCTTCTTTTGGACTTGTAGTAGTTGCCATGATTCAGTTTGATTGAGCTTGATGATCACATAACAGTGTGCCATTTTTTTCTGGACCATGGTTTACCCAGTATCTGATGGTCACAGAGCTTGACTGACTTGGTGATTTTTCTAGAAGATAAGCTTCTGCAATTACAGAGAATTCCTAAAGCATATACTCTTCTGCTAAAAAGTGTTATACTGTGAAAGGTCTTGCAAAAATTGCCGAGAAAGCGAGAGTCTTGTGTAAGCGTTTTTCTTCCCTTTCAAAACTGGGCTATTATGTACTATTAACATAAGAACAAATAATACAAGGATCGTTTTTCTTCAGCTCTGGGTTTCCGGGGCATGAAATTTAGACTGATATACGCAGCATGGTGCATATTTCAGTCTAAATTACTTTCAAATATTGAAACTTGTGCTTCTCCACTTAACACTTATGTACTCTTAAGAAAGTGAAGCATATGTTCTGCTTGTCGCACAACTTACATGATTGTTACTAATCACCTCTCATGAACCGGTACTGGCAGATCATTTTGTTCAGATCATCACAGCAGTAAAAGCCATGTAAAAATGATTTTCAGCCGGAACTCTGATGGCATCTACTGGCATCAACATCTATCGGCACTAACATCCTGAGAAAAGACTCTGACCAAGGGGCACTGAGAATGCACTGGGGTTTTTATTTAGAAGAACAACCAAGGGCCTCCTCGACGAACTGATAATTCGGCACTCGTAAGCGACAACGGCGCTACACACAAGTAATCTCAGGGCCTAAGATCCGGATATCGACAAAAAAGTTACGAAACAGAATCAGATATAATTATCATATCAGCAACCTTGAGCTCTACACAAAGTAGCACATCAGTTATTTCATCTCCAGATCACAACCTCCAGCCAAGCCTCACATAATAAGAAGGCATGCATCCACACGCTGCTGAAAACAGAACGCAGAGCTTCACAGCCACCCTTCTGAACATCAGAGTTATGTACTCCCTAGTTACTACAGAAATGTCGATAATGCGGTGCCATTGTATAACCGTATCAGATGTGCCACCTAGTTGGTCAAACAGCCCAGTGCTTGCCCCGCGAACTACTAAGCTCTCTGCACTCTGTAGACCGCCATCATGAGGTTAAAGAGGCAGGACGGCGCGATCGCAAACCAGCTAAAGAAAGCCATGGCGGTGGCGGCCATGAAGCTTGGGCAGTGGTTCTCCGAGCACATCATCAGGTCGTCGTTGAGGAGAATGGTGATGCCTGCCGATCCACTTGCTGCAGCGAACGTCGGCGCACCTGGACCTGCAGACAAAACGCTTTTAGGAGAAAGAAAAATGCACCTGATCATTAAATGATTATTTGCTTGTTCAGGTATGTAAAGCTTTTCTAGTGCAAGAGACCACAAGGAATGAGTGACAGAGGGCGGTTTTGTTCTGAGGTGCCTGAGAAAATATGTGACTTACCCAGTCCCCGATGGAGTACATGGTGGTAGCTCGAGGAGACCGGAAGGCACGCTTGACAAGAAGTGCGTAGATGTCCACAGCGCCCAGAGCAAGGCTCCACAGGCATTGCAGGCTTGCTGCTGCGATGAGGAGGCTGCTCGGAAGAGCAACAGTGAGTTCATCTCATCTATAGGAGGAAATCAATCCCGTGTTCCAAGTTGTAAAATCAATCTGTGGTGGAAAACGATATCTAATCGCCCCACAGAAATAAGGTAGTAAGATACGCTAGCATGCTACATTGTTTCTTCTAGTTCTCGATGCTATACCCCAAGGCCAACACTGACTGAGAATAGATCTTCAAATGTTTCCCCAAAGACAGCAATGTAATGCATATGAGGAATGCCCATTACAACAATCACACTGTTCTGAATTCCAACAACCAGCCATGCTTATCAGTGCACACAGCAACGAGATGCTTTTGATGAATGCCTAAAAAAACTATGCACACGAACATCAATCTGCTGATTTTTCACACAAATGGTTATGATCAGCAAACAAGGTCTCAAGCTAAACATTGTTATATCCAAAGGACACAACTATGAACATGACCATGTCACCATCCGATCTAATTGCATTGCCTCTCTCAGGATGCCAAACCAATTCAAAAGGTGTAAAAGTAGCGAAATGCGCAGAAAAATATGAGCATCGGTCTTTGGAGGATCAAGAAAGCACCCGTCTGAAAATCGCAGCTTTCATGTTCATGCTTGCTAGTAGTACTATGTGTCAAGAGAAACCCTGAACCTGAAAGCTCAGGTTGCTGCTTATTTTGTTACTGTGTGGCAAGTATAATTAAGATCAAAATGCATTCAATTCAAGGGAGCATGAAAGCCATCCCCATTTGAAGCATGTACAGACTACAGAGATATTAACAGGTGAACAGACAGCCCCTAGAAATTGGCTAACTACTTCTACTGTATAATATGCAGTCCCCCACTCCCTGAGGCACACACAATGAATGAATGAATCCCTGAAGTATTGAAGTGAAAACAGGATAGCCCCACCTCAGAGAGCATCTGTTCCAAGGAGAAATCGATCTGCTGGTCTGGGAGCAAAAGAGGAATAATGGCAGCCGGATGGTGCCGTGGCAGTGGATCGAGACGGTAGAAAGAAGGTGTGGAGCGAGGGGCGAGCGCGCACGCACCTGAAGGCGGTGACGACGCGGAAGTCGTCGGTGGAGGCCATGGAGGCGACGGCGGCGGCCGCGAAGACGGCCTGCGCAAGGCGGGTGCCGAGCCCCCAGCGCGTCCCCGGCGCCCCCAGCAGGTCCACCATCAGCACCCCGGGCGGCGGCGCGTCCCCGTTCGCGTTTCCCCCCTGCGCCGCCGCAGCCGGAGCCGGGCCCTGCCCCTGCCCCTGAGCTGCTACAACCCCCTGCCCCTGCCCCTGCGCCGCCACAATCGCCTGCCCCTGCGCCGCCGCCGCAGCCGGCTGCCCCTGAGCCACCGCTGCAGCTGGAGCCGGGCCCTGAGCTCCTGCAGCCGGAGCCTGCCCCTGCTCCGCCGCCGCCGCAGCAGCAGCAGCCTCCGGGTCCGGGTGCACGAGGGGATGGCTGGGCCGCGGGAGCATGGCGCCGCCGTGGTGGAGCCAGTCCCAAAAGTTGGCCTCCATTGCGCTCCTCCCTGGTAGAGCTGGCCGGCCGGGGTTTCCGAGGGATTTATGGCAGGCAGGGCACGAGCGCGGGTTTTATTTCAAAATGATAGAGTTACAATCTTCAGCGACTAATTCACTGACACACGGTGAAGGTTGCCCAAGCCAACATGCTGTGCTATCTCCACACCGACCAAAGTTCGCTAAACGATCTGCAACCTTATTTTGTTCACGAGTAATCTTTACAGAAATAAAAACCCTATCACTCAAGTAAAACTTAATGTCCTGAACCATATATGGCCATAAGCTGATTTATTCAGAGATGCATCAGGAAGAGCATTGAGAGCCGGCACACAATATGATTGCACCATGATCGTGATGTGTGAATGCTCAATCGCCAATTTAAGACCTTCCCGCGTCGCATGTAGTTCAGCCTCTAGGGCATCATTGCAGTGGAACCACTTGCGGAAGGCTACGAAGATCACACCACCCTTATCATCTCTTAAGATCATACCCGAGCCCGCTGAACCGTCCGTGGCATTAAAGGATCCATCCACCGACAACGCAACCGATCCGATGCTCGGATTTGGCCATGGTTTGCGGGGTGGCGACAACCTGTTCTTCCTGTATCTCCCCAGGTGTTACAAGACACTACATGAAATTTGCCTTTGATAATTTCATCCACCCCCAACGAGATCTGGTTGATGGTGTTCACTAGTAGAAAAGGAGGCAATGGTCCAGGCCGGGTCAGCCCATTAGTCCCGGTTCAATCCAGAACCGGGACCAATGGGGGCATTGGACCCGGTTCGTGAGCCCCGGGGGCCGGCCGGGCCACGTGGGCCATTGGTCCCGGTTCGTCTGAACCTTTTGGTCCCGGTTGGTGGGACGAACCGGGACCAATGTGCCTTGCTCCTGGCCCACCATCATTGGTCCCGGTTGGGGGAATGAACCGGGACCAAAGGCTTCCCTTTAGTCCCGATTCAAGCCACGAACCGGAACCAATTAATTGCCTATATATACCCCGCGAGCAGAGCACTCTCACTGCTCTGTTTTTCGTGGCCGGCAAGGAGAGAGCTTTGTGGTGCTCTAGCTCACCTCCTATGCACACGAGGTGTTCGATGGAATGCCCGAGCCACACTACTTAAGCTTTCTCCTCTCCAAGCTCCACCTCCAAGCTCCATTTTTCTCAATATTTGTCTAGGTTTAGCGGTCCGTCACGTCCCGTTCCCGTCTTCACCGTCGTCGATCGCCCGCACCGATCTCGTCGCCGGCACCACCGTGGTGAGCCTCTTGTTCTTATCTTCTTTCTGAAAGGAAAAAAAACTCTTACTTGTATGTTTATATAGATACTTGTATAATTTTCTTACTTTTATTATTGCATCTTATATAGTGCGATGGTTTTGGTATCCGCCCCCGTCGGCCCTCGTCCTGTCTATGATTCAGATGTGGTATATATTATCTTTTCATAACTATTGGTTCATTTATTGTTTATGACAATTATGCCGACCAACGTGACATAGATTTTATTGTTGAACCGGAAATTCCAACCGACCCTATTGTCGAGAGGTTAAATTTAGTTGAAGAAGAAAACAATTTGTTGAAGGAAAAATTAGAAAAATTAAGGAGGAGAAGATGATATTGGAGTTGCATGTTGCGAATGTCGTCGATGATCACAAGATCAAGATGGATGCAATGCGCTTGAAGATTAGAAAGATTAGAAAATATGCCATTCATACCGAGGCTTGGTATCATTATGTCGTTGGATCAGTTGTTACATTGGTTGCGATTATGATCGCATTTGTTTTCGCATTGAAATGTTTTACATAGTTTCAGTGTATGGTTTAATTAATTTAGATGCTCTGCGGAGCTTTATGTTGTTAGATGAGAACTATGTATGTACTTTGGTTTTAATGTGATGATGAACTTCTATTAATTTGGTCACTTAATTATCTATTCATGATGTTCTGTAATGATTTTTGACACACTTAATTATATATAATGCACGCAGATGAACCGGCAATGGATGTACGGTTCAAGACACACCTCCGAGTACATTAAGGGCGTGCATGATTTTCTCGAAGTGGCTGAGGCAAACAAGCAGAATGGTTTTATGTGTTGTCCATGCCCTATATGTGGGAATACGAAGTCTTACTCTGACCGGAAAATCCTCCACACCCACCTGCTTTACAAGGGTTTCATGCCACACTATAATGTTTGGACGAGGCACGGAGAAATAGGGGTTATGATGGAAGACGGCAAAGAAGAAGAGTACGATGACAACTATTGTTGGGGAACGTAGTAATTTCAAAAAATTTCCTACGCACACGCAAGATCATGGTGATGACATAGCAACGAGAGGGGAGAGTGTTGTCCACGTACCCTCGTAGACCGTAAGCGGAAGCGTTATGACAACGCGGTTGATGTAGTTGTACGTCTTCACGATCCGACCGATCCAAGTACCGAACGTACGGCACCTTCGAGTTCAGCACACGTTCAGCTCGATGACGATCCCCGGACTCCGATCCAGCAGGGTGTCGGGGATGAGTTCCGTCAGCACGACGGCGTGGTGACGATGATGATGTTCTACCGGCGCAGGGCTTCGCCTAAACTCCGCGACGATATGACCGAGGTGGAATATGGTGGAGGGGGGCACCGCACACGGCTAAGGAACGATCCGTAGATCAACTTGTGTGTTCTGGGGTGCCCCCCTGCCCCCGTATATAAAGGAGGGAGGGAGAGGTGCGGCCGGCCCCCTTGGGGTGCGCCTGGAGGAGTCCTACTCCCACCGGGAGTAGGACTCCCCCCTCTTGCCTTGGTGTAGAAGGAAAGGGGGGAGGGGAAAGAGGAAAGGGGGGCGCCGCCCCCCCCCCTTCCTTGTCCTATTCGGACTAGGGGGGAGGGGGCGCGCGGCCTGCCCTGGCCGGCCCTCCTCTTCTCCCTCATGGCCCACTAAGGCCCATTAACCCCCGGGAGGGTTCCGGTAACCCCCCGGTGTTCCGGTAAAATCCCGATTTCACCCGGAACCTTTCCGATGTCCAAACATAGCCTTACAATATATCAATCTTTATGTCTCGACCATTTCGAGACTCCTCGTCATGTCCGTGATCACATCTGGGACTCCGAACAAACTTCGGTACATCAAAACTTATAAACTCATAATAAAACTGTCATCGTAACGTTAAGCGTGCGGACCCTACGGGTTCGAGAACTATGTAGACATGACTTAGAACTATTCTCGGTCAATAACCAATAGCGGAACGTGGATGCCCATATTGGTTCCTACATGTTCTACGAAGATCTTTATCGGTCAAACCGCATAACAACATACGTTGTTCCTTTTGTCATCGGTATGTTACTTGCCCGAGATTTGATCGTCGGTATCCAATACCTGGTTCAACCTCGTTACCGGCAAGTCTCTTTACTCGTTACGTAATGCATCATCCCGTAACCAACTCATTTGGTCACATTGCTTGCAAGGCTTATAATGATGTGCATTACCAAGAGGGCCCAGAGATACCTCTCCGACAATCGGAGTGACAAAACCTAATCTCGAAATACGCCAACTCAACATGTACCTTCAGAGACACCTGCAGTACTCCTTTATAATCACCCAGTTACGTTGTGACGTTTGGTAGTACCCAAAGTGTTCCTCCGGTAAACGGGAGTTCATAATTCTCATAGTTACAGGAACATGTATAAGTCATGAAGAAAGCAATAGCAATATACTAAACGATCAAGTGCTAGGCTAACGAAATGGGTCATGTCAATCACATCATTCTCCTAATGATGTGATCCCATTAATCAAATGACAACACATGTCTATGGTTAGGAAACATAACCATCTTTGATTAATGAGCTAGTCAAGTTGAGGCATACTAGTGACTATATGTTTGTCTATGTATTCACACATGTATCATGTTTCCGGTTAATACAATTCTAGCATGAATAATAAACATTTATCATGATATGAGGAAATAAATAATAACTTTATTATTGCCTCTAGGGCATATTTCCTTCAGTCTCCCACTTGCACTAGAGTCAATAATCTAGATTACATAGTAATGATTCTAACACCCATGGAGTCTTGGTGCTGATCATGTTTTGCTCGTGAGAGTGGCTTAGTCAACGGGTCTGCAACATTCAGATCCGTATGTATCTTGCAAATCTCTATGTCTCCCACTTGGACTTGGTCCCGAATGGAATTGAAGCGTCTCTTGATGTGCTTGGTCCTCTTGTGAAATCTGGATTCCTTTGCCAAGGCAATTGCACCAGTATTGTCACAGAAGATTTTCATTGGTCCCGATGCACTAGGTATGACACCTAGATCGGAAATGAACTCCTCCATCCAGACTCCTTCATTTGCTGCTTCCGAAGCAGCTATGTACTCCGCTTCACATGTAGATCCCGCCACGACGCTTTGTTTAGACCTGCACCAACTTACAGCTCCACCGTTTAATAAAAACACGTATCCGGTTTGCGATTTAGAATCGTCCGGATCAGTGTCAAAGCTTGCATCGACGTAACCATTTACTAGCCCTATGCGTTCGGTTTATTCGGTTTACATGGTTCGGTCTATACGGTTTTTCGGTATGTATGGTATTAATACTTCGGTAAATACGGTATGAAATTAAAATACGGTTCGGTTTCGGTATATACCAAATTATTTCGGTATGGTTTCGGTATAT